AGATAACTAATCAAATTAAACATCATACAATTGTTTTTTAGATTCTAAATGAAACGAAGAATGTATTGGTTTTACTATACGGTGTGCGGTTATTACCTGAAAAATTGTATTCTACCAGAAAACTTCTTCCAATCGAAAAAAGCCACGCGACCTTTTTTGTTGCATTGTGTATGTATTTGGTGTATAAGTATAAGTTGTTTTTGATTTTCTAAGGGATTTTCAAAAGAATTGTAAAACCCCAAATACCACGTTTCTGTATTTGTTTCCCGCTTTTACAAAAAAACAAATATATCTGGTCCATTAGTAATAATACTTCAATATTTATAAAGGGTTTGCGAGTAGACAATTTTATTGTAAGTTTTTTAATAATTTATTTTAGATACTTCCCAAATTGTCTAATGTGTACTATAATGCAATACAAAGATACAAAAAAAATAATAAAGCTTGACAATTTTTCAGTATAAATATTTTGTATATGAACGGTTTACTCGTATTCCTTACAACACATACAAATATATCCAATGATCGATATGAAATTATTTGACATGGCTTATTAATTTTGGTTTGGGTGTAAAACAGTCCACGCACACCTGATCAACTAAACGGATTACTAATATGATTACATATTTTTGACCATACGAAAAATTGTCTTTTGAACTAATAATTGTTCAAACGAATACTATTTGAACATGTGTTACCGTTACAGGTTGGTACAATTCATCAAAATCCTGGTCATCCGTTTTACGCTGTACTATAACAACGCAACTATTTGACATAATTCATTATTTAATATGGATTTTTTTTTATTTGTGTGTACAATCAGTATATATTTATTTAAAACCGATACTTTTGAATAATTCCACGATTCGAATAATTTTTAAAATAAAACAATCACTTACAGGGCCTGATTAATGGATTTGCCACCAGTAGCTCTTGCAGGGTTGATTTAGCGATTTTTTTTTTCAATAACCGTTCGTAAACCTTCACCCAGATAAAAATCCTGGTTCAAGAAATCCAGAGAGAGTTACAAGACCCGAAATTACCTTTTTTTTCCTAATCAGCCCTCCCTTCTTGCATAGGCAATCTCAAAAAAAAAAAAAAAAGATTTTGCTACGTCTATAGTCACTGATATATAGTGACACAAGTTTTTTGAAAAAAAAAAAACAATTTAAAAAAGATAAAACGTTACACATTCGGTCGTTCTTCGACTAATCCGACACAAGGAACAGAAGTACGAAAAACGAATGCCGCTGCTGGAGTCAACGACTACAAAAAGTAGAGTTTTGAGAATATTATAAATAAGATAAATACTTACTGCAGACACATTATATGCCAGTTCATTAATACTGAAAGTCATAGATTCTTTCTCCTTCTTTAGGTTCATATCACTATATACACAGCAGATTAAACTGTATAACGACTGAAAAAAAAAACAAAATTAATTTCACCTAAAATCTTTGTAGATTCACTGGATTATATATAAATAAATTAAACCACCTTGAAGGCTGTAGGTATACTATATATCATAAATAAATTTGATTTCAAAACGCTTATTTAAAAAAAAAAAAAAAAAATCGTCCGGTGATTTTGGAAATTTTACCACGTCTGGGTAAGTTCAATATCGGTATTATTACAAAGTTCCGAGTATCTGCGTGTATTTATAACCGAATTACAGCAAAAAACTCCCAAAAATTAAAATTCCTTAAAAGCTCAAAAGTGGCTCAAAAGTTTTGGCGATGATACCGTAAGAAAGTAAACAAAAAATGTATGTTGTGATTTTTCGATTAAATCATTTTTTCTGGTGGAAAACGTCGTCCGTGTTTTTATAAAATAATGAAATCATGATACGTTTTCCTACATTTTTCCGCCACTTACGTGCTTTTGTTTAGAAAATGGCGTCAAATATCAAAAAACGGTCTCAATAATGTACCATATCGATCTTTCAGAAAAGTTGCTACACGTAAAAATCGGAGCAAGTTTACTTGGAAAAAACGTGTCCACAGACTAAAACAAAAAAAAAAAAATAAAATAAACATCTCAGTAAAACCAATAGTACTAAAAAACATCAAATATGCAAAAAAAACAAACAGTATACAATTTCATATTTAGAGTCTGGTGCACTAAACGAAATGTAAAGCTCACCCTACTATTTTTATTTTTATCCTATGATAACTGACAAATGCTATAAAATCCGAGCCCTAGTGATATGTATAGGAAATATTTATTCGGAAACGAAAAGAGCAAAAAGAAAACTAAAGTGGAACAAGAAGAAAAATGAATAATTATAATTATTTTTCATCGCGTGTGTATATGATAATACAAAATACGTTTATGGATGTTTAAAATTGGCACAACAAGAAGCGAATTTAAGCATAAAATAAAGGTACTGGGTTATTGTAAAGGGCACGTTAGGCGAGGGGGGGGGGAGACTGGTAAAAGTAATAGGTAAAAATAGTTCACGTACGTTTACGTTTTGAAATGGAAGAGGTTACGACCTACGGGGGTGCGATTGCGTTCGTGCGGAAAGCATCGCATTTTTTTTATTATCTTTTTGAAGCGCTGCTAAAATAGTTGTGCCCCGGGCCCCGCGAATCGTACGGACGGCCCAGGAACGAAAGGACCGACCATCATCACTGGAATAAAACCGTTGTACAGCGCACGTTTATTTTGTTTTCTCATTACACAATTTTTTTTTTCAGTTGGGTTTATTTATTATGCATCGAGTTTAATTTGTTTTTTCGACCCTGCCATAACAGTGTAATCCTGTTACGCCTGTACACGGTAGTCGTTTCCCGCTATCGTCGGGAAACTATCGCTGCGTACTATAAATATTGTAGCATAGACATTGGACAATGATAATACCCGTTTGCCTGTCGCGTCGGGAATTTCAGTAATTTTAAACACGTCTCCGCCGTTTCCGAAAACAATCGTTTTAACGCGTACAACAGTATTGTCACGATTGCATTTAGTTTAAACATCCCGAACGCGTAAATAACGATTGGAAAATATTCCGGCCGTTTGGAGGAAATGCAAAAAAAAAAAAAAAATAAAAAAATATTACAATAATAATGTATTATCATTGTTATCGCGGCGGAGTCGACAGCGCGGCGGCGGCCACGTGACCGCCGCCGCGGATTGTGCTTTTGACAGCCGTCGGCGGATGTCCCGCTGTCCCGTCGCGCTCCGTCCCGCAACAGCAACAACGTTATTAAATGTCCTCGGGACGGGCACACGCAATCGGCCGCCGCATCCACCACCCCGTACCTGTCAAAAACTATAACAGGGGGCCGCCCCATCGCGACGTGGGATCGCGCACACGCTCGCCGCCCACAACGTACCGGCCGCGTACATCCCGAGGACACGGCGTAATAATGTTGTTGTCCCAACGGCCGCTCTCCCGCACTCCGTTTCTCCTACCGCCGCAGACAGGCACCTCTATACTACGTCCGCGCACACGATATTGTCGAACGCGTCGTCCTGTTATGTTGTGAATAGGTACCGACGGAAACGACAGAAAACGCCGCGCCGCCCAGAAAAAACTGCTGGTTACGGTGCCAAAATAATACACAATTCCGAGACTCGGGTCAAAAATGGCCAATCTAACTGTTCATCGATATTCAGAAATTAAGAACAAAACACATTTTCGGGTCTTTTTGATATCGCCACCGTAAATTTGTCAATAATATCCTGCATAATTTAGTTGTTGTCACTCAACAGTTATACCCGGTCTTGCGTACACTTCCGCATCTACTATCTTAGTCCGACTGCCGGGTAACATACAAAAACAACGTTTACGCAGAATAAGTAATCTAAACATTACTAAAAATAAGTTTATTAAATTTTTATTAAAGTCGCCAAGCTATATATGTTCTATTTGTGTTTACAAACATAAATTGTATGTTTTTTATACAAGTTGTTTAAAAAACGTACATTATTACTTACATATAAGCATAAAATATTAATACAGTAAATAAGTATAAAAGCAAAAATAAATAAATTAGTCGCCTCGAGTATTACGGAAAGTGTGTTAAACGACCGGTTTCGAATTATAAAAAAAAATTCATCATGGGGCAACATCAACAGTCGAAACGTAAAACGCGACTGAACATAAAAAAATTAAACGAAGGAACAGATAGAAAAGAATTACGGAAACTAGTCGATTTGCATAGAAATAATAATAATAAGGCCACGCGCGTATTCATTTATTTATTGCTGGTCACCGTCACCGTTCGCACGCGCTTTCGTCGCAGAGCACCTACGAGGACGGGACGGCCGTCGCGGCCAAGGCCCGGCTGGAGGTGAAAGTGGTTTTGCCACGACCCGCGCCCGAATTGTTCGTTAATTCGTTTATTTCGGTACCATGTGGCTGATCGCTTGACCGCCTGCTGGTTACCGCGACCGGCAAGTGGTTCACGCACGTTTTCGTTACAAACGGTCGCCAACTTGCGTCGTTGTGGCGTCTTTAGCTCGCCGTGTTTCCGCCGGACCAGCCGCCGATCGGCCAACTTTGGCAACGACTTTCGCAGCAGGCGAATGTCGTGCTGACACCGTGACCGATCACACACCGACCGCAGGTTCGAAAGCAAAGGAACAAACACGATTTGCATCTGACACAGCCACTTACTACGAACCCCTTCCCGATACAAGTCGCCAATAACGCGCGACCCAATGTCACCACCGAAAACCTGATGCTCGGAAACCTCCTCTCCGAGTACCGCCACCAGCTATAGACGTCCCAGTTTGGCCGAAAAGCACCCACCTGTTACGTCAGGTGGACCGCACTAACAACACGTGTGGACACCGACCACGTCGCGGCTGAATGATGCCAAAACAACAAAACGTCCGGGACGAATTCGCATGAATCTTTGTTTCCTTAGTTGGTTTGTTCATTTTTGAACTTTTTTTTGAAAAATACCCGCTCCGCATCTCGACGGATTGTGGGAAGCAGCCGTACGGTCCGCGAAACGTTCGTCGGTCCGGATCGTGGTGCACACGCTTTCTCACCTATAAGGTACTCGCGACGGTGTTGTGCCGCATAGAGGCGGGGTACTCAATTCCCGGCTGCTGACTCCGGCTGACATCGACCGACCCGCATGACCTCGAGTGTCTCGCGCCCGGAATCTTCCTGGTGGACCAACCGTTACTAGCGATCGTTCCCCGTGCTCCGGACGCGCGTGGCCGTTCGATAGTCGACCGACGGAAGCACCTGGACCAGTGTCATCCGTCACTGTGACGCCGTTGGTCGGCCGAATGCTTAAACACCCAGCAAGCGTGGGCCGAACGGACAGACGCCTAGCCTCGAACGTCCAGCCCAGTGACGTGGTCACGATCCTGGTCATCGCGGTGCAACTCCCTCTCGAGTGGCGGCCCGAACGAGTAGTTAATGCGCTACTCGGCTGCGACTCGGTACGCGTTAATTATATCTTCAGTAAATTAATTAAAAACTGTACATCGAATTCATATAAAATATATAAATAACAACGGTATTCCGTTGACAGGGGGTCACGTGTCCCTGTGCCCCACCTCCCCGGATCCACTACCGTGTGTTATTATTTAATTATCGGTACCTATGTGTCGTGTGTGTGTGTGTGTGTGTACGCGTGTTGCGTGGCGTAATTGATATAAACGTAATCCGTTGAGTACCAACGGTCCGAAAATAAAATGTTCCCGGAATATTGAAAACTCACGATGCGACAATATGTTGTGCTGTTAAATAGATAATGCTATTAATTGTTATCAAATAACCCGGTCGACTATTAACACTGCCCGGGTGTTGCCGAACACACATAACGGGCGCAATCAAATCGCCAACTTTGGGAGTGCCGAAACTATAGACACATCACAGCCCCGCGGGCGGCAATGGCACCGCAATCCCCTCAACGCGATAACTTGTCTTGTACAACAATAAGCAACTGCACATTTCGTTTAAAATGTTTTTTTTTTTTTTTTTATAAATATATCGGAACTAGTATATATTTGCAGACTGCAGACACCGCGTATACTGTAGTGTAGACCGATGATCGCGGGGACAGTTTTCCGAAAAGTACCCAGTTATGATTAAACATATTTTCAGAAACCGTTGTTTTTTCTATTGTTCTAAGAACCAAAAACGACAAAATGAAATATTAGATAACGCGAAAAACACAAACGGAGTGAATCCGCATAATTCATCGACCTCCAATCAACGCCCGAGATTTTTTTTCCCCGAGAAGCCCATTTCTGGACAATCGACCAGATATTATTTGCATTAAATATAATAACAAAACGACGAACATACTTCGCACGTGGGTGCAGCCACTGTTGTAGGTGAAAAGTTGGGAAGATAGGCTACAGACGGGTATTTAATGTACATCTGTAAGCAACGTTAAACCATTGCTAGCGAAAAAACGATTCCGAGCGGAGTTCAGTAGATAGTGTTGTTTCGTCAACAATATATTTGTCATATAATGGTAAAATAATTACAAAAATGTGCGTTTCCATGACAACAAAAAAATATTAAAATAATGAAAACTTAATAATAACAAAAAATAAATAAAAACAGTTGCTAATGAGAACCTTATTTTTAATCGTTCTATCTTTCTTAACCTAAGAACAAAGGTTTTCCTCATTATCTCTAATATTAATGAGAATTTCAAAAAATCTCCTCTTTAAAGTACCACCCGGAGAAAAAATTTCCATTCAAAAAAGGTGCTATACTTGATAATCGGAGTATGATTTCTGGTAGAAAAAGTATTCACATAAAAAAAAAATAAACTTCATCGTAAAACCAATAAGTTATACAATTTTCAATATAATAATTACATTATGTTCTATAAAAATGAACCGGGCGATTTCTTGGAGAACGTATTAACCAATTCCATGGAACTGCACACAGATAAGACCGACAACTAATTTTATCTAGGTACATAATTATACAGACGTCCCAGTTTAAAACTGAAAAAATTAAAAACCGCAATACAACGTAATTTAATTATTGTCCACGTGGTAGCGTTTATTTCACTTTAGAAACGAATGTTACCAGAACAATCGATGCAAAAGAAAACTATAAATGAGTAGACATGTTGCGTTTTTGAAATGAAAATTATTTTCATGTTGAAACACGTTTCATTTATATTGCTTATCAATTGATAATTCTACTCTGTATTTCTCGCTACTGTAGACGTTACCATTTATAGTGGTATATATTATTTTTCATAATATTACATGTAATAAAACGTTTATTGTTTCATAAAGAAGTACCTATATTTAGTATTGCATGTTATTCCGTTCTTGCGGTTTAACTCGTGATATTTCAATTCAAAAACGTAATATGAAGTGCTTATAATTATTTTCCATTAAAACTTAAGTTAAAAAAACAAGATAACCTTACATGTATACCAAATTTGATAATTTCATCTTAATTTTACAATGATTTGCAGCAGTTCTAAAATGTAATGATTTTAAAAATCATTATACTCGACAATTTTTTTTTAATTGTTGCAGTTTTGAACTAGTGGGTCGAATATATCAATGCCTTTTCAACACAATTTCTCCCATCCATGTGCCCATCATATTTACTTCAAGAGGCATATGATTCTATGGGGACCAGAAGCTCAGAGTTCCTACTGGTGTAAAGTCCTATAAAATGACTTACTTAAAGTACCTTCCCTGTCTGATTTAGATTTAGTTAAGCATAATATAGTAGATAGTATCTATGACCGAGCTAAGAACATAGCCATAGGGCCTCTTCCACTAACATAAACAAAGGCGGTTTTGGTTAACCAAGTTTATGGCTGATAACAGACAGTGATTGGTAAGTTATCTTATAACTGAACTCATTTTGCAAAAATAATAGATACATAATAAATTAAAATCAATTTTAGTGAGCATTATTAAAGTTACCAGTTTTTGACCAAATATAATAATACATTTCAATATTTTACTACTCACCACTGACGGTTTTTTTTTTTTTTTAAATTATAATGTTTTATCTTTACAGCTCTTCATATATTATTTCAAAACACTAGATTAAGTAGTAAACAGCAATTTTCAAGAGGTCAATTAAAGAGACTTGCTATTGTTAAGTATTTGTGTATTTAAATATATTGAATCTACATTTCCCTGCCCCCATTTTCATTTTGGTATTTTAATTTACAGTAAACTAAATATTAATAAACTATAGTTTTATTAAAATTATTAATTAAAATGGTGTTCTACTCATTTAAAAATTTGAATAGACGTTCAGAAGACTTATAATTATTACTTTATACTGAATACATGTTTGTTATGTTGTTTTATAGCAAGATATTGATTAGTTTAAAATAACTTAAATTCAAATACAATCAATATATCACTATAATGTTAAATTAATAATATGTTTCGATGTTAATGAGCAACACAAATTAAATATTTTTGTCTCCAGGATTAAAATCATGAACTTTTACAAATATTAATCTATACAATATATATTTGGTTTATTTTTTTATTATGAAAAAAACAAAAACCTAGGGGTAGCATTTAAAATAGTATACTAGTCATAGTATTGGTTATAACAAAAACAATATTTCAGTTAACTCTGGAGGGTGAAATTATTTAAGTGTTTAGATGTATAACAAATTCCTGTATAAAGTATCCATGAATATTAAAAAAAAAATTAAATAAAAAATAACTACTTATGTATGATAAATAATGAAAACATTTTAAATCTAAAAAATTAAATTAAAATTAAATAAAAACGACTGACCACTTAATATATATATATATAAAAAAAAGGAATTATTAAGATTTTTTTTTAACGTAATTTATTGTTATATAATCATAGCTATTTACATTATTTATTTTGTAAAATATATATATTTTTAATGTATATATTTTTAATTTAACAAGGCAACAAACACATTGTGTTATATAAATTAATTACAGAGAAGAGCTGATTGGCTAGCATTTTATAATTGTTAATGTCTGTCATAGTTCATTGTATTAAAAATTAGAAAATCCGTCAGTTAGTTCTTTTCGTACTTTGAGGGGTCGGGGTGGGGCGGGCTATATACAACAAATACAATTTTTGCATAGTTGCAGTACGAAAAATATTGCTGTTTTATACACAAAAGACCTAAACATTAAATAATAACCTTTTTTTTTAATAGAAATAATACAAGTAAAAAATAAAAAACAAAATTGTTTTTTGAGTGTGATATTCCTGAGAAAAAGGTGTTTTTTTTTTTTTTTTTAAATAACTTTGTCCAAAAAGCAAAAAAGCAGCATAGTCTCATCGAGGAACTCACTGTAGAACACCAACAGCATTCGGAGAAGTTATTCCATTCCCACCTGCTGAAAAAAAAAGTGTGCCTTTTAACTAACATGTTTAAATAGTCTCAAAAATACCAAAAATATATAATATATTACTTTAGAATTTATGATGAGTGCTTCAAAATTATTATTTTTTATCAGTTTTAAAATAATTTATCAAATAATATTGGTCCACAAAAATTTAATTTACATTAAAAAAAATTATTAAATTACGATTTACTTTTTATGCTTAAACAGAACATAATTATGTTATGTTATACATTTTGCCTACTCAAAAGTTTAATATAATTCTACCATTAATTTGTTTAGATATTATTATACCCAAGATTATGTAAAAAAAAAAAAATACCAATGTTCTTGTATAAATATTAGAAAATATAATATTTTATCCATCGTTATATTTATTATTAAAGGAAATATCTCTTTGTAATACAAATAATAATTTGTCAAAATATATGTATATATATCATATGATCAGTTATCCTAACTTTCATTTTTATATAAAGAAAAATAAATAAAATTTGTATTTACTTTGTTTAAACTTTAAACACTTAAAACTTAAAATAAATAATGTAATAACCAGATGTTTAACTCAACATTTTATTAACTAACATTACGTTAAAAATTTAATAGCATGATTAACACATAGATGGAAACATAAGAATATGCTATAGTATTGTCACATTATTGATATAAACAGTAATATGGACAAATTCATATTTTTCATTGATATCAAAATGATCATCATTGTATTAAAACACTAACATATTTTTATCTTTTATTTTTGTGTTTATTTAAAACAAAAAGTGCGGTATTATAGATATTTTAAAAAATTAATAAGTGCCTGGCAATGTGTTAAAAGAGGTTGGTAAAACCAGCCTAATGTACTTAGAAATTTTATTTGAATTTTTAACTATATACGTCAATAATAATAACCAACATTCAAAGAAAAAAATATATATCAAAATAGGTTTTCATTATAAATATATATAAAATATCTATTTATTCATTTTCAATAAAGAAAAACTGGTCTTTTAAATTTAAATGTATAAAAACTTTGATATACTATAAAACAATTAAATATTTTTTGTTCAAAATAACAACAAAATACTCCAGTTTTATAGTTAGACACAATTTATAAAATATCACAATTTATTATCAAATGATCAATCTAGAAATTATAATTTAAAATATACAATGAACAAACTTATTTTAACAGTTTTATAGAAATTAGATGTGCCTAATTATCAGCAAATAAAACAATTGTAAAACAAAATACATTAAAATACCATAGTGTAAATATTATGTTGTATAGAATATTATTAAGAGTATCTTGGGAAAATAAGAATCAAATTTATAATTTTAGTTAATCTTTCAGTCAACCATTGTTTATTTTATATTTTAACAGATTTAAGAAACCAGAACGTAATTATACTAACATACTATTTATATTAGTATATTTTACAAAATATATAACGGATACGTACAGGCATAAATTATTATAATAAGTAAATAATTTGTAAAATGTGTATTTTAACTTTAAATATAAAACAAGTATTAGAACATAATTGTTAACCTAACACATGAATGACAGAAATATATTTTACAAACTATCACTGGTTTAATAATTAAATAACATAATGAATAGTGAAATACATCAAATCAAAATTATTTTAATTCAATAATAATAATTATGTACCTGTTATTGGTGTTGGAGATACAGATGATGCACCCAAATTAATTCGAGACTGCTCTTTTACTACTGGATCTAAAACCATAACATAAATATTATCTACAAAACTGTAGTTATTTAGAAATAATTTCTAAATTTTTAACTATGTATTGTAATAAAAGTTTGCTAATTCATAATTGTTGGCTAACATACTGTTTATGATTAAAAAAATTCACTATTAACAGCAAGTTAGTACTTTTAACCACAATCACATACTAGGGTTAATAAAATCACTAACTTTTAAGAAACATATAAAACTTAAAAAGTGCTATTTCATAACGTTTCAGATAATATGTACTAAAAAGTGATTTGCAGGAATGTAAAGCTGTATATACAACTTTTATAAGCTGAATCTTTTGCAAACCACATCAAGTTAATAGAAGTTTTTTTTTTATTAATTTTCAAATAAAGTTTCATCTAAATTGCTGGTTAATAATAAATACATACATATGTTAAAAAATATATTTATGTTCATCAACAAAAAAATCAGATTCACTCAGGGCTTTGTATGTAAAATCAAAACCGAACATTATTAGCTGGCAAGGAATTTAACATATTTAATATAGGTAACTTTGTTCTTGACAGACATGATAAATCCTTCATTTATAGATTGTATTGTTTCATTGACAATATTGAACATCGAAAATTAAAAATTTGTATAAATATAATGGTTATAAAACATTAAATGTGATAAACAATTTATGAGTTTTTAATTTTTAGTTTAATACCAATTGTTATAATAAAATTATAAATATGAACTATTTATTGTTTGTATTATTTCATTGATTTAACTGTTAATATCACTGAATATTTTAAAAAAAAATAAAAGTATTTGAAATTCATAATAAATTGTGTAATAGTAATTAGCTCACTAGTATTATTTATAATGAGACAATACATCAACACAATAAAGGTGAATTGAGATTTACATAGACTAGATTAATGTGTAAAATAAAATAAAATAATAAACCAATAATATTAACATTTTAAGGTGAGTCAGGTTGAAAACTTTAAACAAAATCATTTGTTCTCAGTTTATTATAAACACACGGAACTCATAAATTACTTTAGAATTCCATAGCCTATAAATAACAAGAACATCAATTTATAAATATTCATCATACTCATTTTAAATATTACTATAAAAAAACTGCAATGAAGTACTCACAAAAATATGGATGATCCATTGCTTCTCTAGCAGTCAACCGTTCAAAATGATCATAACGCAAGAGTTTATCTAAGAAATCTAAAGCTTCTGGTGTTACTAGGTGTTGATTTTCACTATGTACAAAACGCTCCCACCGTTTTCTCGAATGCCTAAAATTTAAGTTTAAATGATTTAGTTTAATTACAAAAATAAATAAATAAAATATAATAGATATATAAGTATATATACCTTCCTAAAATATCAGAAAATCTTGGATCCAATTCAACATGATACTTGTCTAAATATTCAAATAGTTCTTCAGTTCCTAGAACCTTTGCAATACGCACAAGTTGATCATAATTATCATGTCCATGGAAGAACGGCTCTTTCCTGAATATCATACTTGCTAACATGCAGCCTAAAGACCACATATCTAACGAGTAATCATACATCTAAAATAATAATAACATCAATTAAACATAAATTTAATAAAAAGAACATTAATATGATTTAATAAAATACTGAACCTGATAGTCAGCAAGTAACTCTGGACCCTTGAAATATCTAGAGGCAACCCGGACATTGTATTCTTGACCAGGATGATAAAACTCTGCTAGACCCCAATCAATTAAACGCAACTTTCTGTTTTCATGGTCTATCATAACATTGTGTGGTTTGACATCACGATGCATGATGCCCATACTATGGCAATAGTCCAATGCCTATAACAAGCATATTAATAAGTTTTTAAACTAAACAATATTAACAATATATACTAACAAAAGTAGTATGATTTAAGTTATGCACAATCAAAGTGACACTATACTTCGTATCACGTGAGAACGCATATGGCAGCGGACCAAAACTTGTATATTTTCACACATCCCTACTACAAAACATGCACAACAGATTCCCACTATGATATATGACACATTCGACAACAGAGTGCAAGCCATATGCGTTCTCGTAATACGCAGTACATATTATGAATGAAAAACTTCATATAATCTCACTTTTTATTACAAAATGTGCTAATATAAATATTTATAAATAAGGTATACTGTCAAGTTTAATAAATAAATAATTTTGTAAAAAGATGCCATATTTTCATATGGTGTTTTATCTTATAATAGTGATATTTTACATACTCAGGTCACTTAAATATTGAAATATTGAGCAAAAAAATTAATAAAATTACAGAGAATATGTTATCTTTAAGTTTGATAATAGTTTAATTCAATCCAATATTAAGACACCAAAATGTTATTATTACTAGACAAAAATATGTGATAAGTGTGTTTGGTATATTATTATAATGTGCCTATACACCCTAAATCGCTAATTAAAAAAAAATGTATATTTTCTCCTCACCTTTATCCTAACTATTTGGGGTCAGCCCTAAACTTCCACTTAACCCAATACCCTACACATCATACTCTTAGACACCGGTCATTCTCATATTGTTCCTAAAGAAATCCAACTACTTCTTTTTCAGTTTTTCTCTCTCCCTCTAGATCCAATTTCATTACTATTTTACAGCTTTTGATTGTCTCTCCACGTGGCATACCCAAACTAAAACAACCAGACTATTTTCTCTCACTTTGACTATTATCAAACACACATTTAAAGTACCTCTTATGTACTAATTCCTTATCCTATCTTCTCTTTTCATTCTACTCATCCACTTATACATAATATAAAATATAATATTGAATTCAGGAGAGAAATATCTCAGCTTAGGGCACAAGAATGTCTAAATACAAATATAGTAATTATTTAAAGTGATTATGAATAGAAAATGTCCACATTTTTGAAAAAAAAATAAACATAAAAATATTCTAATTTCTTTCAAATATGAAGTTCCGAGTACATTTAATAAATATTTTTCATCGAGAAATAACATTCATTTGTAAGAAAAAAGCATTTTGAGTGACAGCTATTTTCATGTATATAATTATGATTAGAGAATTGCATAACACTTTAAGAAGAACATTGTGTTGTAACAATCTTATTTTTATTAACATAAATACAAATAATGACATCTGTACATTTTTATTTTTTAATTTAATTATTAAAAAGTACTGAATAACACAAATGAGAACTTTATGATGTGTTATGCAATATTGATGACTCTGCTATAAATAAAATTAATAGTAAGAAAAAAGGCAAGTTTTGTCACACAAAACAACGATTTTAAATTTGAACTTTGGACATATTCTCTTTATACTATTTTTTTGACCTCTATTTGGGTATTTTTTGCTATACTATGTATCCATAAATTTACATGATTCAGATTCAAGTGCATTATTACGCAGCATAAATTTAAAACATTAGCACCAAAAATATTGGTCTATTTATTTAATAGTAAAAACATTTAAATAAGTATATAAACAAAAGAATAAGCACCTTGAGCAACTCGTAAAGATAAAATCGAATATCATAATCATTCAGCGTCTGGTAAAGTTGTTTAAAGTCCATATTATTAACATGCTCAAATATAAGAGCAGGTGTACGGGAAACGGGGTCTTTTACCACTGCCTGCAGCGATATAATGTTGGTACCTCCCCTCAGATTTTCAAGAATTTTTATTTCTCTTTTGATTTTCTTTTTTTTTACAGGCTGTAAAAAATAAATTGATTTGTTGTTAAAAAAAAATTATGTACACATTTTATATATTAGCTATCTCATAAAATAATATTTAATTTTTTACCTTTAAAATTTTCACAACACATTTTTCACTACTAGTTACATCAATTGCTTCAAATACTTCACTGTATTTACCTCTACCAAGTTTTCTTACCAATTGATAATCATCTTGTTGCCTAAAATAATGAATCATATTTATTAGATATCAAGTATATTTATCAAATATATAAGTGCCCTATGTATTAATTTTTAATATACAGTTTAATAACTATTAAGCATGTTATGATTTTCTACATTTCATTAATATTTTCATGGATTATACCTGGGGTGATAAAATATATTGAGGGAGTTTTTAACCTTACTATATATGGCTGACCTAAAATTCTAAATTTAGGGAGAAGGTAGTATTGTCCATGCTAGAAGACTAAACTTTCCCATCCCTTACTACATATGAATATATAATTATTAATAATAAAGAATAGACAAGTATTAAATGTAAGTTATATATTCAATTTAGCAGAAATAACAACGGAATAGAAATATTTTATATAAAATAAACGTTGATGAGTTGATAAAAAAGTTGAGTCTATTTATTTATTTAACAGACATCAGTCCAATTTACATTGAAACATACATAATTATATAATAGTGTAGATTATAAATACAATATAGAATTATGTATCATAGATGCTAAAATATATTAAAACAATAAAAAGATAAAAGATAAAACGCAAATAAGTACATAATTATAAGTTCTAATAAGTTTGATTAATAGAGTAAAAAAATTGCAATGATTTACAGAATTCCCAGTAAATAGCAAGATATTTACAGGTATACGCGACATGTTTTGAGAATGTTTTAAATAAAATAATTTTTTATTATAAATTTTATGTTTATTTACTTTTAGAGTGATATTGTTTGGAATGAAGGTTTCATCTATATTTTAATGGTATCAAATTCAAAAAATTAAGAATAGCATCATATCCAGAGTGAGGTCTATAAATTTCTTTTAAAACAGATAAAACACAGCATATTATTTTGAATTTTTTCTATTTGTTCACTATGGCCAATATTATATGTTTCCCATATGATTGGAGCATATTCCAGTACAGGGCGAACAATTGAAGCGTAAAGACATTTTAATGTAATTTAATTAATTAATTATAACTACAAACACTTTCTTTACACAACTAACTGTACCTAATAAGTTATTAATTCATTTTATTTATTATAGGTAAATAGGTTATGTACTTAATTATTTTTTGTGTACAACCCTAAGAGAGCAAGCACTACTTTAAAATCATAATTAATTATAGTTAAATAACTTTTAAGCAGATATGCGCTAAGAATTATAAAGTGCCTAGCTACACTATTTTACTGGTAATTAACAAATAAATAAAATAAGTATCAATTTAATTTGATATCATATAAATTTCATTCATAAGTATTAGCTGCTAACTATAGGTACTTAACACATATATTTTTTATACCAAAATAATTGATTTTGTCAACACCAATGAGTACATACATACCTAATGACTAATCATAAGTAAATTAATCACAATAAACATTAAGTAAAAATCAAATAGCTTAAAATTAATTTTGTTACTACCCAAATATTTATTATTTAATTAATAATTAATGATTAATTTTCAAACAGAACAGTTTGATCAAAATGTTCAGTGAGCAAAAAATACAAATACTTAACTTATTTATACTATTTCAAGATAATATACTAACTCGAGTGCTGCAACTAAATTTTGTGGTACCTCAAAGGGCACACCTTTAAAAAATATAATCATAAAAAAATCTTTATTAAAATATTAACACTATTGTTCACGTACGGTTTATAGGAACAGATTGCCACAAGTTGTTTTTAATAATTTTAAATTTTACTATTTAGTATTACCTATCTGGGTTATTAGTTAGCTTCTATCGGTATATTTCAGGACCATTAGGGAATTTATCGCAAACTTTACCATGCACTTTCAGTTACCCAGCTAGTTGCAGCACTAAAATTAAATTAATAGCAAAACTTACCCCCATTCTACTGTATATGATTCGTAATCCCAATATTCTCTGGGTTTGTGAGAATTGACATCTGCGTAAACTCGCGCTCGACTTGGCAGCGCCATTTGATTAATAAACCTGGTGGTTGTTTGATCGTTAGCAACTGTCCGAAACTTGGTTCCGGTCGCACTTAACAGGCAGCCGGTGTCTAGTGGTATCAAGAAAACAAAAGCACACACAATCTATTATAGCACTAGTGTCTTATAAATGATAATTTGTATTTAGGCATTTTATACAACAATTAACCAAAAAATAGCCAGAAATGTTAGTGGAAACGAAATAAAAACCAGTCAACTTACTGAGTAGTATATGATGCGCACACACAAGATTTTCTAGGTTATTGATAATATTAAAATGCAGTAGGCATTTTTTTTATTTTTTTTTTTTAAATTACCTACCTTTGCAAAGCAAACGGCACGGCGTATGGCCAAGGGAAGTGGTTCTAAAGTAAAATCGCACGAAACACCACGAAACGGAATGATACATGTAAATCCATGGAAATTATAACGGGTCAAGAATAGATGGTGATAAGTATTGGCATAAGGGCGACGACCACGACGTTCATAAGCAATTATTTATGTGGTGTTCCATTATCAAAGTATCATCAAAACGATCACCTACGGCGGCGAGCGTAGCCGTTTACAGTTTGGCCGTGAAGGGAAACGCGTAATGATGTACCGTGCCGACCGTACGCAACTGTGGTTGTCGCCGTCTTGTGTCGGCGTCGGCGGAAGCGTACACACGGTGTAAATTTCGTGACGTGAGGCGATATTTACACGGGAGGCCGACAGAAAAGCGAAAAATAATAACGAAAAAAAAAATAGCGAAAAACACTATCCCCCACGTACCTGCTATAACATTTTCCGATGACGGCCCGTGTCTCTGGTGCTGTTCAGTTCAGCTAAACGTTGTTAGCATGTTCCGCGTACGGCGGCGACGGACGGCGGTGGCCCAAAAGTAATCGCCGTTTCGACGATACGAATACGAAGTGAACTGGGACGGCGGCAGGGTGGCGAGGCGCGCGCGCGTTTGTGTACGCGTGTGCGTGCGAGTGTTTTTTTGTGTGTGTGTGTGTGCGTGCGCGCGCGCGTGTATGTGTGTGTGTGTGTAGGTATTACAATATACGCACGTTAATATAATAATTTTTTTTTTTTTCAATTCGTCCGGTTGATTTTACCGACGACAATTCTCCCAGGAATGTGGTGGACGGAATCGGGCGGGCGCGCGCGACACGGAACTCGGTGCGGATCGCGGCGGTCGGGTCGACGGGTTTCACGACGTCCGGCGGAAAGACGATAGAGAATATCGCGGTTAATCGGAATCTGCGACGGCGCGCGTGTACACCGTGCGCGGCTTTGAGAAAAAGAAACCGAAAATTATCGTACACATATACACAATACTACCGCGCCGAGCGTGTGTGCGTGTGTGTGTGTGTGTGGTCGTGTGCTGTCGGGCGTGCGTGTGCGTGCGCGCGCGCGACGTTTTACGCCTGTGCGTGTGCGAACGGGCGACAACTACGTCGGCCGACGGTTAGACGGAGAGAAACGACGTGCGAGCGAGAGAATCCAAAATGGCCAGGCTGACCCGTTCGCGGGACCGACACAACAATAATACAATAATAACGTGATTACGCCGACGATACGCCGCCGCCTCGTGAACAACGTAAACACAGATAGGCCGCCAAAGAGCTTGGAAAAAAATACGACGTTTTTCGAAACAACCGGCAAACAATATTGGTCATTCTTTGTTACCGTCGCGCGGTATCGACAATATGTTATTGCGCAAATTATAACGTACGAATCGGGGAAATCATTTGAATGCGACTGTCGGTTTCGGGTGCATAATATTTCGGCCGATCGTTTCGGGCTTTTGAAGCGGGAAAATTCAAAAACGTCCAAAAACGTGTATAGAACCACTTTTCTTTGCACGCCCTAAACAACGCGGTATCCGGAATCATAGCTGCTGGACGTTATTGTTTAGCGTGGCTTTTTGAATAATGAACATCGGTAATCGATATCTTCTCTTTTTCGCTTTCGTCCCAACTGTTTGGGGTCGGCCACTCGCGTCCTAGACTCTCAGTCACAACCCGATCTCCCACATTATACTCGCAGCATTATACCGACCGTCCTCGTATCATTGTCAATAATCGCATCCGATCACATCTGTTCTTATACGAAATTGTATTAATCAAAGTTGAATAAAAAAAAAAAAAACAAATTTGGGAATATTCGAATATAGCGTTAAAAATAGAGGAACAAATCTACTTTAGCACCCCCTCGAAATTATGGATTTTTTTTTTTTTTTTTCGGAAACCTATGTATTTCAACGATATAAAAATTAAAGTTTTATTACGTTTTTCACGGAGATCGTTAGTTTTAAATTTATTACCTTTTGAAGTTCTCGATTTTCGATGTTTTACGCATGTGCACAATGCATAGTTCACCGCGCGTATAATGAAGTTTTCAATTTTTTTTTTTGAAACCTAAGCGTATCAACGTTTTAAAAATGATCGTGTAAAAATAAAATTATAGAAAATCAAAATCTAGTTCAGCACCCCCTCAAAATTTCAGATTTTTTTTTGGAATGCAGAAAAATATATCGTATTTTTGAAATAGTAAAACCACTTCGGGCAGGTAACAGGGAAAGTGAAAAAGCATTGTAGGTAGAATATGAGGCCCAGAGACATATTTTTTAACCTAACGGATGACCTAACCTACGAAAATGCGTAAAATACGGAAAACCGTGAACTTTAAAATTAATGATTTCCGTGAAAAACATAATTATTAAACTTTAATTCTTAAAACATTGAAATACACAGATTTCGAAAAAAAATCCAACATATCGAGGGGTTGCTAAAGTAGATTTATACCAAAATAGGTATTACTATTTAACAAAATTAATTTTTATTGCGCATGCATGGGCGAAAAGGATTTTAAACATTTTGAAATTTGAAAAAAAAAAATGTTAATAAAAGGATGAATTTATACTTTTGTGATCTATATTGCGTACTATTCAAAAAATATTCCTCCGTACATTGCTCATAGACTCTTACACAACTAGACGGAACATTGAACACGAAAACGCGTTCCCGTGGGTGGAGTTTCATTTCGAGGACAAAAACAAGAGAGATAATAAACAAAGTGTTTTAATTGGCTGTCCTCGTTATGAAAAGTTGTTCTTTATCACACTATAAATAGTCAATACAGTCCAGTGGTTCCCAATTGGTGGTCCGCGTGTTGATGTTGGGGTGGTTCCTTGGTTGTGTAATACTGAAGTGATATTTTTATTTTATTTTAGTGGAATTATTAAACACGTAGTGGTTTAAAACTCCAGGTATTTTCAGCAATCACTATTGAAACTCGATTATCGCTAAAAAGGTCGATAAATATATATATATATATGTTATTTACGTGGAGCTACATTGATTGTTTCCTTCTAATTATCCGATAAAATATATTGCGGACATAAATTACTACATAAAGCAAATTGTCATCGTTAGTCGGTTTAGTTTTAGTCATTGTCATTACTGGCCAGCGATTAATGCAGTGTGTATCTTTTTGTATATTATATTTTGAAAGTTAATCATAAACGAATAACCATATATTGTATCAGTGGTTAAAATCTGGTTCACTTAAAAGGCCTATAAGTGACACTTATAAAAATAACACTGTTAATGATATAGTTCAAGTAAATAATTCATGCATTTATTTTATATACATGCATATATATATATGTATATATATTTTATCATATACATTTTCTATTTATTAACCCGTCGTTAGGCGCGTGCGTGTGTATTGCGCTAATTGGATTTTATATATTTCTTTTGGTGTAGTAATCGACCTAGTAGCTCAGACTCAAATCGCCGTATTGCAAGCCCGAAAAGTACCGTAGTAACTAAAGTGAGAACGTATAACACTGAGTATTTACAATTAGGGAATCGCATTTGCTGAGACTGAAGACGAACCAAAACCACAGTGTATTATTTGCTTGGAGATCTTGTCCAATGGGAGTATGAAACCTTCCAAACTACGACGTCATTTTGAGACACAGCATAATGTTACACGAACACAAATACCGTAATAGAATAAATATTGACGCTGATTTAAGAGTTATAATATCCAGCTTGCAGCCAAACCTGGACGAGATTATGAACAAAAGAGAAAGGTTTCACTCGTCTCATAAAGTTCGAAAGTTAATGCAATAACTAATTTAAATAACTCATAATTAAATTATAAAAGGTAATTTGCATGGTTAGATAGTGATTTTGTCGAGTGTAATGTCAAAGATGTTAAATCAAATAAATCTCTTTGTATTGTATTTTTTGAGGAAATCTATGTTTGTAATGTTTATATTATTACAAAAAGGTACTTTTGAACAATTTTTTTTTTTTTCATTTTTATAATCTAACAAAATTGAAAAGCAAGTATTCAAAAATAAGGGGTCCCCCGTCCAATTTAAGTTTTAGCTAGGGGTCCGTGGCTCAATGCTAATTGGGAACCACTTCTATAGTCTATCTCCCTTGATCCGTTCAAATCGAATGACCACGCCTCCCAGGCTCCCGGATCAACGTTCCGTCTAGATATTGCATACGTCATAGTCACTACTTTAAATAGTTACGTAGATAATATACATAATCATAGATTGATAGATTCATATTATATAAACGCATATTTGTATTTCAATACGTTATTTGAAGTTTGATAAGTTTTGTGTCCACGATTCATAAATCGTTCAGTCATTCTAATTGAAATCGGATCGATTTTGTTTTATACATTTCACTAATTTGGTAATAGGTATTTTGAAACATAATAATATATTGGAGATGTGTAGTTTGTGATGAACGAACAATTCACTGGAAATAACGATTCGGTAGTACTAACTCACTATATTGAACGACGAATCGCCGAATCTATTTGTCAAAATAAACTACGGTTGCCATCCAATAGCGGATTTTCGACATTTTCCCGGGAGGGGTCCTAAAAAATCATAAGTGTTTAAAAAGTATCTTTATTAATAGTTGCCTCTTTTTTGGACGACATTTTATTGAAATTATATTGGTGTCCAAGAGGGGTCCAGACCCCCTGTACCTCTGAATCCCCTCACCATAAATCAGATACCGTTACCATCGTTATACGAATAATACCAATATATCGGCGTATTTTCTCAGTTTATACGATTTCAAAACCATATCGCAGTGGACGAAAGCAGCCGTTCATCGGTAATCTGTACATTTAATTTCTATTTCTATCGGTTATCGACATGCGCATATTAATTACATTATAATTAATTACAGTTATTGGTGATTTAATGGTTTCAGTCGTTTTCATGACGTATAACATTTATCGACAATAATTATTATTGACAATCGCTTAGAGGACGCAAAAAAAAAAAAAGAATACGCAAGAACTTAACAATCAGGAAGATAATAATAATAACAATAATAACAATTTTTGGTTTCTAAAATATTTTTGTTACTTCGTAAACTAGACGTTTTCACATCGCATTATAGTTCGTTCCCCGTCCTATCAACCGGCGTGGTTTTGCTCAACAAATCCGGGTTGATTTTCGATTAAAAGTTAGTCTGGGAACCATTGGTTTTATCATCCCATGCAAATAGCATCAACACGAATGTTATTTTCCCGATTTATACTGTACCCCATCGCTGATGGCAAACGGTATTTTGTTAATTTTCAATCTATATTATAATGTATTTCCCATAAATTTATTAAACTTCCATTAAAAATTTAATTTTTTTCCCCCGCATATCTCTTAAATTAAACTTCCGTATTTATGCGTATATATTTCTTTATTTTAATTACATACAATATATCCGCGTTAGTCACAAACGATCAGATACACCTATATTCAACATAATTACAAGTCATTAAAAATTCGAACACGATCGTCTTAACAATATTTAATATGTATTAATACCAAGTTTATATTTTATTTATATAAGTAGACAAATATATTATTATTATAATAATCAAACTGTAATTTTGGCTGTTGTTAAACTAAAAATAGAAGATAAGAATATAATATTGGTAGATATAGCGAATCTCCTATTCAATTATTTGATAAAAAAAACACATATTTTACGACTTAAAATAATAATCGCTTCAAACTTCTTAAATTCGAATAGGTTTAAAGTTTAAACTCTAAAGATCATTAATAATATTATGTTATGCTACTGATACTTATGAAACAGTGACTAAACACTGTAGACAAATATAATACTGTATTCAACGTTACTAATGCAAATTGTACAGAAAAGCTTAATAATAATCAATATGCGCAGTTATAGATCGCATAAGTTATACATCAGAAATTGTCATAAAAAAAATTTAAAAAACCTGGTAGTTTTCAAGTCAGTATTGGCATAGACACATAGTAGCTGCAAATAACGTAGGTGCCAAACCTAATAATTTAATGCAAATATCA